TCTGGTAATCATTGGAAGGTATATTTCAATACTGAAAAACTGTTATGTAGATTACTACATAACAATTACATTATCACCCCTTGAAAGCAAAATGAAGGAGCCTTGAAAGGCAGGGTCCTCTGGGAGTTGGCTCTGCCTAGGGGGTTTTCGAGTAGTGGGGCATGGGCAGCCGACTAGGAGATGATGGGGCAGCTGCCAGCCAAACCCAGCCCAGCACAGAGGCCCGAAGGAGAAGGCACCGAGGGTGTTCCATGCTAGGGGGAGGGGGAAGGGGCTTCAGAGGTGACCAGGATGTGAGCCACTGGAAGGAGAGAACAGGCCATCAGCCCACAACCCATTGCTCCTGGTAACACATTGTGTTTGCAGAGTCCAGTGGAGGGGATGGGGAATCAATACATCACCCCACATTCACACACACTCTGTTCATCAAACATCAGCGGATGGTGAAATCCACTTTCCCTGAATCTAAGGTCATTGGGTTGACTCCCTCACCTACCACCACCCACAAGTGTCCTTATGTAGTCCGAGAGGTGAGTGCCAGGCCCCTGACCCCCAGGATATGGTGAGGAGCATTGCTCCTGACCCAGGGAACTTGGTTCCTGCCCCCACCCGGTTCGTACCTCACCGTGAAGGTCACTCCTCTATCCTTCCCCCACATCCAGGACTGACCGACACTAAATGACAGGGCGGTGCCGGTGATGGGCTGTACCTGTGCCCCACCCCATTCCTCTCCCCTGGACTCATATGACAGGGTAGGGGCGGAGGGGCACAGTTGGGAGGGACCATGAGGGTTTTATAAGGCAGGTCTGGTGCACCAAGCAGAGCAGAGACCTGCGAGACACCAGGCCTACTACACCACACACCTCTCAGCTCTGCAGGTAAGAAAACCCAGGACAAGAGGGGAGAGGCTGGGAAGCGTGTTGACAGGCCCTCTCCCCAATCAAGGTATCGAGCTACCAGCCAGAGTCTGAGGCTTACCCCCTGGAGTCTCCAGAGATAGGACTCTTTCTTTAGCCCAGGATGGAACTAGGTCGTGGCTCCAGGACCCACCCCGGTATTCCCAGCCATGCCTTCCACCTGCCCTTCTGCCCCAGCCGGGACCCTGCCCTTCGCCTCTCCCTTCACAGTCAACCCAGCCCTGGGAGGTGAGGAGGACTGGGGTTCTTCTCCTCTCTCAGATGAGAAAACTGAGGCCCAGAGGCAAGATGTGACTCGCCAAAGTCTTAAGTTGTATTAGGCAGGTCTAGGATGGGAATCCACAGCTTCCAATTCCGTTTCAACCCCTTTCCTAGACCCGTGCCATCCAAAAGAATGTCCCATGATTCGGGAAATGTTCTTTATTGCACTGTTCAATATGGTAGCCAAAGCCACATGTGCTCTTGAAATGAGGTTAGTGTAAAGGAGTAATTTATTTTTTGAGATGGAGTCTCGCCGTATTGCCCAGGCTGGAGTGCAATGGCACGATCTCTGCTCAAGGCAACCTCTACCTCCCAGGTTCAAGCAATTCTCCTGCCTCAGCCTCCTGAGTAGCTGGGATTACAGATGCCTGCCACCACCCTGCTGATATTTTCTATTTTTGGTAGAGATGGGGTTTCACCATGTTGGCCAGACTGGTCACAAACTCCTGACCTCAAGTGATCTGCCTGCCTCAGCCTCCCAAAGTGTTGGGATTACAGGCATGAGCTACCATGCCTGGCTGTAATTTTTTAATTTAATTAATGTAAATGTAAAGAGCCACATGTGGCTATGACGCCGAATAACATGTGTGGTTAGCATTTGACAGCACAGCTCCAGATCACTGATTTTTCAAATCTTCAGCAAGGGAATTCTTTGCTTCCAAAGAAAACCTAACAGAACCTCATTATGAAAAACCTGATGGCCAGGCAGGGTGGCTCATGCCTGTAATCACAACACTTTAGAAGGCTGAGGCAGGCAGCTTGCTTGAGCTCAGGGGTTCCAGACCCCCCTGGGCAACATAGTGAGACCTTGTCTCTACTAAAAATAAAGACGAAAAAATTAGCTGGGTGTGGTAGAGCACACCTGTAGTCCCAGCTACCTCAGGAGGCTGAGGTGAGAGGATCTCTTAAGTCCAAGAGGTCGAGACAGAGCGAGACTCTGTCTCACAAAAAGAAAAGAAAAAAAAGAAGCTGAGCCTGGTGGCTCGTGCCTGTAATCCCAGCACTTTGGGAGGCCGAGGTGAGCAGATTACGAGGTCAGGAGTTCGAGGCCAGCCTGACCAACATTGTGAAACCCTGTCTCTACTAAAAACGCAAAAATTAGCTGGTGGGTGGGGGTGGTGGCAGGCACCTGTAATCCCAGCTACTCAGGAGGCTAAGGCAGGAGAATCACTTGAATCCAGGAGGCAGAGGCTGCAGTGAGCCAAGATCATGCCATTGCCCTCCAGCCTGAGTGACAGAGCAAGACTCTGTGTCAAAGAAAGAAAAGAAAAACTTAAAAGCAGTGTAGTATTTTATTAATACAAATGTATTCTGACAAGAGAACATTTTTATCATTTTCTTATCAAGGAATGATAAAAATTATAAATCAAAAAATGATTTATCAAGCCAATCAGAACAGTGACGCTAAAATAATACAAAAATTGTGAACCCAGGGAACTGGTGACCATTTAAATTTTATGTTTGTTTGAGATTCCAGTTTAGTTCTATATTATGTTTTCCCTAAACTTGATTCACCCTGATACATAATTGCTAATGGTGACAGTTTAGTTTTTCTTAACTGCTTCATTATAATCACAGGATATTCCCTCAGTTAAGCAAAAATGACAGGGGAATCTTTCCTCTGAGGGCTGCACAAAAAACTGTGTGATCTGGCCAGGCGCGGTGGCTCACGCCTGTAATCTCAGCACTTTGGGAGGCTGAGGTGGGCAGATCACCTGAGCTCAGGAGTTCAAGACCAGCCTGGCCAACATAGAGAAACCCCGTCTCTACTAAAAACACAAAAAAACTAGCCAGGCATGGTGGTGCATGCCTGTGATCCCAGTTACTCAGGAGGCTGAGGCAGAAGTATCACTTGAACCCAGGAGGCAGAGGTTGCACTGAGCCAAGATTGTGCCACTGCACTCCAGCCTGGGCAACAAAAGCGAATGCCGTCTCAAAAAAACCACCAGTGTGACCCAGCCAAGTGCTGAATGTGCCTCAGTCTCCAAAGTGAAAGCATGTGGTCTGTAACACAGCTGGATGTCTACATTCCTTTGTTATTACTATTTAAAAGTTTCGATTTTTGTTTTTGTTTTCTGAGACAGGGTCTCACTCTGTTGCCCAGGCTGGAGTACAGTGGTACGGTCTCGGCTCACTGCAACCCCTGCCTCCCTGGCCCAAACGATCCTCCCACTTCAGGCTCCCAGGTAGCTGGGAATACAGGTGCATGCCATTACGCCCGGATAATTTTTGTATTTTTTGTAGAGATGGGGTTTCACTATGTTGCCCAGGCTAGTCTGAAACTCGTGGGCTCAATCGATCTGCCCTCCTCAGCTTCCCAAAGTGCTGAGATTACCATGCCTGGCCTAAAAAGTTCACTTTAAATAACGTCTTGGGCAGAGCACAGTGGCTCACATCTGTAATCCCAGCACTTTGGGAGGCTGAGGGGAGGATCGCTTGAGCCCAAGAGTTCAAGACTAGCTTGGGAAACACGGTGAACTCCCATGTCTACAAAAAATACAATAAAATTAGCTGGACGTGGTGGCAGAAGCCTGTAGTCCCAGCTATTCTGAAGGCTGAGGAGGGCGGATCACTTGAGGTCAGGAGTTCAATACCAGCCTGGCCAATGTGGTGAAATCCCATCACTACTAAAAATGAAAAAATTAGCCAGGCGTGGTTGGTGTGTGCCTATAGTCCCAGCTACTTGGGAGGCTGAGGCAGGAGGATCACTTGAACCCAGGAGGCAGAGATTGCAGTGAGCAGAGATCACACCGCTGCACTCCAGCCCGAGCAACAAGAGTAAAAGTGTCTCAGCCGGGCGCGGTGGCTCAAGACTGTAATCCCAGCACTTTGAGAGGCCGAGGCGGGTGGATCACGAGGTCAAGAGATCGAGACCATCCTGGTCAACATGGTGAAACCCCGTCTCTACTAAAAATACAAAAAGTTAGCTGGGCATGGTGGTGCGTGCCTGTAATCCCAGCTACTCAGGAGGCTGAGACAGGAGAATTGCCTGAACCCAGGAGGCGGAGGTTGCGGTGAGCCGAGATCGCGCCATTGCACTCCAGCCTGGGTAACAAGAGCGAAACTCCGTCTCAAAAAAAAAAAAAAAAAAAAAAAAAAAGAGTAAAAGTGTCTCAAAAAAAAAAAAAAAAAAATTGCAGACTCATCAGCAGATAGAGGCCTGGAACCACATGGTTCAGTCCCCTGCCTCTGGGCCTGTGTGGGGACAGCCCCACCCTTAAGCTGGGCCCTTCTCCTCTTTGCAGACAAGATGCAGCGACTGTGTGTGTATGCGCTGATCTTTGCGCTGGCTCTGGCCACCTTCTCGGAAGCTTCCTGGAAGCCCCGCACCCAGCGGCCAGATGCACCCTTAGGTACAGGGGCCAACAGGGTCCTGGAGCAACACTGGCTGGAACAGCAGGGCCCAGCCTCTCATCACCGAAGGCAGCTGGGACCCCAGGGTCCCCCACACCTGGTGGCAGGTAGGAGCTGCTGACCTCCCTGCTTGCCCCGCTCGGCCAGGTTCAGCCAAGGTCTCCCCAGACTGGCCCTGACCTTGGTTGCTGGAGGGTAGGCACCTTCCCCCATTCTCGCCTCTCTCACCTCCTCAGACCTGTCCAAGAAGAAGGGCCCACGGGTGGAGGAAGAAGAAGAAGCCTACGGATGGATGGACTTCGGCCGGCGCAGTGTCGATGACGAGAACCAACGGCCCTAGAGCCAAGCTGCAGAGCCCAGCCACCTCCCACCCCACCCCAGCCCTGTCCCTGAAAAACAAATAAAAAATAAACCAGTTTCCAGTGGATTCATGGACTGTGTCAGTGCTGCAGGGAAGAGGAGGGGGACTCATCTGGGGGTGAGTCTGTAGCAGGGAGGAGGGCTGAGGATTCTCCTTGGGTCCCCTAGAGCCCCACATGGAACAAGAATCCACAGGTGTGGGTGGAATAATAGATGGTAGGGTTCAGAGACACAGTAAGCTTTTTTTTTTTTTTTTTTTTTTTTTTTGAGACGGAGTTTCGCTCTTGTTACCCAGGCTGGAGTGCAATGGCGCAATCTCAGCTCACCACAACCTCTGCCTCCTGGGTTCAGGCAATTCTCCTGCCTCAGCCTCCTGAGTAGCTGGGATTACAGGCATGCGCCACCATGCCCAACTAAGTTTTTGTATTTTTAGTGGAGACGGGGTTTCACCATGTTGACCAGGATGGTCTCGATCTCTTGACCGTGTGATCCACCCGCCTCGGCCTCCCAAAGTGCTGGGATTACAGGCTTGAGCCACCGCACCTGGCCTTTTTTTTTTTTTTTTTTTTTTTTTTTTGAGACAGCGTTTCACTCTTGTTACCCAGACTGGAGTACAATGGTGAGATCTCGGCTTCCTGCAACCTCTGCCTCCCAGGTTCAAGTGATTCTCCTGCCTCAGCCTCCCGAGTAGCTGGGATTACAGGTGCCCGCCAACATGCCCTGCTAATTTTTTTGTATTTTTTAGTGGAGATGGGGTTTCACCATGTTGGCCAGGCTGGTCTCAAACACCTGACCTCAGGTGATCTGTCCACCCAGGCCTCCCAAAGTGCTGGGATTACAGGAGTGAGCCATCGCGCCCGGCCTCAGAAGCAGCTTTTGAAAGATCAATCAGGCTGTGTCTTTTGAAAGATCTTTTGAAAGATCAATCAGGCGCCAGCCACGTACCTTTCCATAAAACACACGGGATCTGGCCGGGCACGGTGGCTCAAGCCTGTAATCCCAGCACTTTGGGAGGCCGAGGCGGATGGATCACGAGGTCAAGAGATCGAGACCATCCTGGTCAACATGGTGAAACCCCGTCTCTACTAAAAATACAAAAAATTAGCTGGGCATGGTGGCGCGTGCCTGTAATCCCAGCTACTCAGGAGGCTGAGGCAGGAGAATTGCCTGAACCCAGGAGGCGGAGGTTGCGGTGAGCCGAGATCGCGCCATTGCACTCCAGCCTGGGTAACAAGAGCGAAACTCCGTCTCAAAAAAAGAAAAAAAAAACACACATGGGTTCTGAGATCACCCTCCTTAGAGATGTTCTGAGCTCCTCAGCCAGGGTCTGCTGGAAACCAGGAAGAGTCTCCTATGGTGGAGAAAACAGACATTACCAGAGGACCCCCAGCCACGGTCTCAGGCACAGAAGGGAACTGGGATCTCAATCAGACACCAAGGCCGAGACACAGGCACAGAAGCAGAAAGGTGGGCAGCCAGGAGAGGATCCTCACCACAGGCACGCTGTATGGGCAGTGGGTGGCAGACCCAGTGGACACCGGGGATTGCTGAGGGTCTTCACCTCCTCCTGTGTGTCAGTCAGCATGCCCCCACGGTCCGTGTACTTCTCCTGCAGGTCTTGCAGCTGGGAACCCACCCGCAGGCTCTCCTGGGACCCAGGCCCACCCCATCCAGCACCTCTGCCTATCCACTCAGAGCCCAGGCTCTGGACTCCAAGTGCCATGTGGGGGACCCAGGGGAGGTCCCTGCACTCCACGTCACTTGAACCTTGACAGAACTGCCACCTGCTGGGCTGTGCCAGGCACGGAGGGGATGGAAAGGGACAAGATTCAGTCCCTGCTAGTCTTCTCCAGAGTCAGGTAGCTGCCAAGGGCCTTAGGGTCCATGCTCTGGGCCAGAGGCTCTCCGGGGTGGGGGCAGGAGCTGGGAGGGGCCTCACCTCTCCCTGGAGCTGCATCTGGATCTCCTGCTCCGAGGCCAGCTGCCGCTACAACTTCTCAGTCTCAGCCCCATACTGGAAGGACCCAAAACCAGTGAACCCCCATCTGAGGCCTCCCCACTTGGGGCACCCCCTGCTTCCAGCAAGTCTCGCCAGGCACATCAGTGAGTCCTTGGCAGCCTGTGAAGTGAGAAGTCACACAGAAGGAGGGCAAAGAAGGCAGGGAAGTCACATGGCCTGGTTCCTACTCAGTTTCCCCTCACGGAAAAAGCAGATCAGACCAGATGGGCTCTAAGAGCTCTTCCAACCTGAACATCCCACTCTGGCCTGTCTTCCATAAGAAGGACCCCTAGCTGGGACCCCAGAGAGACAGCCAAACAGGAAATAAACAAGACCCCCACCCCTACAGGGCAGAACTCGAAGGAGGGCCTGCCTGACCTGGGAAGGCAGTACGCACCTCCTCCAGCAAATACAACATCACTTTGATGTCTTCCTGGGTGATCTTTTTGACTGGCAGAGGTAGGTTAGGAAACAGCACTGAAGGAGGCGGCGGGTGGGGAAGAAAGGCCCAGGCAGGTCAGGAAAAAGGAGCAGATGCCATCAGCAACCAGGGGTTTCCGTTCCTATCCTCAGGTCTCCTCCAACAAGGGTCATCAGGAGAAAAGACTGGGCTCCCCTCCTGCCCCTAACATCCTCCTCTTACCCCTCAGCACTCAACACTCCCTTCCCTGATCCCAGGGCCAAGTGGACTGAGGCTTTTTTTTTTTTCCCCTGGTGGAGCCTGGATCAAGTAAGGGGATCACAGTTCTCCAGGCTCAGGAACTGGGCTCTCCGGACACCTGGGTCCCTGGCGCCTAGGGGAATGGAGACAGCCAGGGGAAGTACTGCCTCAGACTGGCTCGTCACCCGCTACCCAGAAAGCAGTGCAGTGGCGTCTCCTGGGTCATACAAACAGACGCAGCCACTCACGCTGCACCTGAAGAGGAAGACTTCTCCAGCACCAGATTCGGGTGCATTCAAGCCTCTAGTCCCAATGCAGAGATCTCCCCGACCCACAGAAGGAGAGAAGGAAAGAGAAGAGGCGGGGTGAAGGGCACGACCTTGCCCCCCAAACCCGCAACCAAAAGGTGGGCAAAACTTCCCCTTCTGCCCACCCCGCCTCTCCATCGTGCGCGAGCCCTGTCGGCCAGCGCAGGCTCAGAGCGCGCCGGGCAGTGCCCTCCGCACCCCCGTCCCTCTCCTAGCACTGCAGTAGACCCGGGAGAGGGGCGCTGTGGGGACACAGATCTGCCACAGCAACAGGCGCGTGGAGATGGGTGGGCAAGAGCGCAGGCCCCGGGACCTGACTCACTGGCACAAATCAGGAGACGAGAGCAGAGGAGGAGATGGGGAAGGGGCGACCAGACAGGCGCTGCAGTGACACTGCAGGGGTGGTGGACGGTGACACTGAGAACCAGCGGGGACCTGGCGCCTGGATCCAGAGGGGCCACTTCCTCCCCCGAGTTGCCCCAGTCCCCACCCGGTCCAGGACCCTGGGGGTCCGGTTTACCTTCCTCCAGCTTCCGAATAAAGGCAGCGCGCTCAGGGCCGGACACCCCGGGTTGCCGGCCAATGTAGGCGGCTGGTGACCAGATGCCCGCTGCCTTTCCAGCCCTCAGGACAGTGGCCCGGGGACCAAACGGCCCTTGGAATACGAAGCGGGTCCACGGCGCGTCCGAACTGTCGAGCACAGACCGGGCATTTCCCTGGATGGCCGAGAATGCGGACGCGCGCCGGGCTCCTGCCTTGGCTCCAGCCTCGGAAGTCGGACAAGCTCCAGTGCCGGCTTCCGAGAGGCATCGCGATCCAGAGGCGGCTCGGGATCCTGCTCTCGGTGCAGCGCCCCGTGCCTGTGGCCGCGCAGAGCACTCCGGAGTGGGACTGGCTGAGGGCGAGGGTGCAGAGGTGAGTGCTGCTCGGTCCCCGTGTCCCAGTCCCCGCCCCCGCAGGCTCCCAGCGCAGCCGCGCCCCTGGTGCATCTTGACTCCGCCTTCCGCTGCCGCAGCGGGACTTTTAAACCTGCCCAGGGGGCGCCCCGCCGAGCCCGACCACCCGTAGGGGTGGGGCCGCCGAGAAGCAGCTAGTGGCACGCAGGACTCAGAGCCGCGCGGGAGGGGAGCTAGTGGTGACCGAACAGAGCACCGTAAGAAAAGGAAGGCAAGAAGGGCGAGTGCAGGTTCTGGATGGTTCCGAATTGGGCTGGAAACAAAAGATTTCTTCTCCCCTCTCCATCTCCAGAGAATGGTTCTGCCCAAAGCCGCTGCTGCCCTGGGACTCCCAGCCCAGACTGGGCAAGTCCCTGGCTGGGGGCAGCCCCTACCCCGCTCCCGCGCCAGGGCTTGGGCTGCCTTCCCTAGTATAGAAGCTGCCAACCCGACATTGTGCTTAAGGTCTTGGGTGGCCACTGCATGAGGGCAGGGCTGCATCTTTCTCGATTGACGGAGAGACATTCCAAACTCCAGTGCGCTTCCAACATGCTGTCCCGCCTGGCTCTGCAACCCCGACCCTCGCGTTCACACCCCCCGTGCCCCCGCCACTCGACGTCTTCCATTTGATTGAGAGTCCTGGTTCTTCACCTCACCTCCAACCCTAATTCGCTTTGCCCTCCTCTTGCCAGGCTGGCGAACCCCTGTTCTCCTGGGGAGACGGCGCTTAAAAGTCTCCCTGTGTCTGGGTGTGGTGGTTCAGGCCTGTAATCCCAGCACTTTGGGAGGCTGAGGCTGGGGGATCAACTGAGGTCAGGAGTTCGCCCACCAGAGGGTAAGGTAGTGCCGGCCCGCATACCTCCCCACGTGGCTTCCACACCTACAGGCTCAGTTGCCTCGCAGCAGACGGAGTAGGGACGGTAACTCGATTTTACAGGTGGAGAAACCAGGGCTCGGGGCCCTGTCATACTGGAGGTAAGCATTTTGGCATGGCTAACAGATGTCTGCCTTTCCAGGGCCTAGAGCTGTCCAGGAGACCCTAGGCGATCTCTGATCCAGGCCTCTCAAGTGGTTTTCCGCTCACCAATATAGTGAAACCCCGTCTCTACTAAAATTACAAAAATTAGCCAGGCATGGTGGTGCGCGCCTGTAATCCCAGCTACTCAGGAGGCTGAGGCAGGGGAATCACTTGAACCTGGGAGGCAGAGGTTGCAGTGTGCTGAGATTGCGCCACTGCACTGTTGCCAGCCTGGGTGACAGAGCAAGACTCCGTCTCAAAAAAAAAATGGGGGGCGGAGAGACAAAAAGAAAAAAAAAGGAAGAAGCAACTAGAAAGAAAGAAAAAGAAAGAAAGAAAAAGGAAAAGAAAAGAAAGGAGTTTCATGTAGAGTGGACACATGTATTGTGCAGTGCTGCTGGGCTGGGTCAAGCAAAGACTGAGGACAGAGACAGCTTAGCAAGCTGGGGTCACGGGCAACCTTGGTGAGCTGGGGTCATGGACAACCTGGGCAAACACGGTCTTGCAGGGCAGGGCACAGTGGTTCACACCTGTAATCCTGCGCTTTGGGAGGCCAAGGCAAGTGGATCACCTGAGGCCAGGAGTTCGAGATCAGCCTGGCCAACACAGTGAAACTCCATCTCTACTAAATACAAAAATTATCTGGGTGTGGTGGCACACGCCTGCAGTCCCAGCTACTCGGAAGGCTGAGGCAGGAGAATTGCTTGAACTCAGGAGGCAGAAGTTTCAGTGAGCCAAGATCGCACCACTGCACTCCAGCCTGGGTGACAGAACAAGACTCCATCTCTAAAAATAGAGAGTGGTCTTGATGGTGGTGGAGATAAGAGAGATCAAAGAGGGGTGAGGAAATAATGGGAGGTAACAAAATGAAAACACAGAGGAGGCTGTGCACTGTAGCTCACACCTATAATCCCAGCACTTTGGGAGGCTTAGGAGGGTGGATTGCTTGAGCCCAGGAATTCAAGACCAGCCTGGGAAACATGGCAAAACCTTGCCTCTATTAAAAAAAAAAAAAAAAAAAAAAAAAAAAAAAAAGGCTGGGTGTGGTGGTTCATGCCTGTAATCCAAGCACTTTGGAGGCCAAGGTGGGCAGATCACCTGAGGTCAGGAGTTCAAGACCAGACTGACCAACATGGTGAAACCCCATCTTAAATTAAAAAAAAAAAAAATTGCCGGGCGCGGTGGCTCAAGCCTGTTATCCCAGCACTTTGGGAGGCCAAGGCGGGTGGATCACGAGGTCGAGAGATCGAGACCATCCTGGTCAACATGGTGAAACCCCGTCTCTACTAAAAATACAAAAAAAAAATTAGCTGGGCATGGTGGCGTGTGCCTGTAATACCAGCTACTCAGGAGGCTGAGGCAGGAGAATTGCCTGAACCCAGGAGGCGGAGGTTGCGGTGAGCCGAGATCGCGCCATTGCACTCCAGCCTGGGTAACAAGAGCGAAACTCCGTCTCAAAAAAAAAAAAAAAAAATTAGTTGGGCATGGTGGTGCATACCTGTACTACTTGAGGAGCTGAGGTGGGAGGTCATCTGCGCACAGGTCGAGGCTGTAGTGAGTCTTGATCATACCACTGCACTCCAGCCTGGGTGACAGAGCAACACCCTGTCGGAAGGGAGGGAGGGAGGGAGGGAAAAAACAGATTACAGAAAACTGTATTGAAGAAATCTGCAACAGAGGAGCGCTGGAAAAGGGCACTGGCGCTGAAGGAGGATGTGCACGCTGGGGAGTGTGTTTTGAAGATGGGAGAGAGGACAATACTGTCCCATGCTGATGGAACTGTTCCCTCAGGGAGGAGAAAACAGGTGCAGAAAAGAGAACCCATCTCCCAGGATAATTCTGGAAATGAAGGAACTTTCACAAGCTAGCCTGTTCTCCACCTTGTTCAAAGCGTGCGTGTTTTCTGTGGTTTCTTTGTCAGTGGAAAGCTTGAAGGAGACACCACCGCAGTGTTTGCTGCGACAGTGAGGCTGAGGAACGCGAGGAGGTGGCTGTTCGGGCAGGAGCACAGCCCAGGCTTCGTAAGGCTGCAGCTCCGCAGGCTCTGCCGAGGGGCCTCCCGTAGCCCAGCTTCCTGGACAGTCTGTGCCTCGGACATCTCTGCAGCCCCAACTGCCAAGCGCAGAACAGGGCATACACAAGAAGCCGATTACACTCCTGCTGAATCGAACTGTTTCTGGCCCATGAGGAAGCAGCCCTAGGAACCCCCTGGAGAGTTTTAGGGAGAATACGGCAGTGGGATGGAGAAGACAGAGATGAAGTCAGGACTCTCTGTGTCCTCCCCTCTCCTGAAAGCTCCCCCAGTAGTCCGCCCCTCTAGGTCAGCGCACCGGCAGCCGGCAACTCTGGCTACGGGCACCAGAGGGCAGTGCCAGCCCGCATACCTCCACTCACGGCTTCCTCACCTACAGGCTCAGTCGCCCCACAGCAGTCACAGGAGGGATGGTGACTCCATTTTACAGATGGAGAAACCAGGGCTCGGGGCCCCATCATTCTGGAAGTAAGCATTTTGGCCTGGCTGACAGATGTCTGCCTTTCCACGGCCTAGGGCTGTCCACAAGACCCGGGGTGGTCTCTGATCCGGGCCTCTCAAGCGGTTTTTCGCTGTCCACCACCCCCTCCCTTCCCTGCTGCTGCTTTAGGGAGAGAAATCAGACACAGCAGAGACCCTCGGGCTCCTGCCCTCCCTCCTAGTGTACACCCACCGACCCTGCTGGACCTGAAAGAGGACAGGAAGGCGCAGAAGATTTGCCAGGCTGCAAAGCCAGACCACCCCCAACTAATTATGCACAACCCCCTGAACCTGGGCACGGTCACTCCAGTGCCAGCCCTGGGGAGCACACAGGTGGCTCAGGCCCCTCCCCCACCTCCTCCCCTGACCTGACGCTGGAAAAAGCCGCCTGGAACAGGATATGTCATAGAGCCCTGAGGGTCGGTGCCAGGGACCTGGGTGGGGCCAGGCACTGGGATTACTTTCTGCAGGGGAGCAGGGTGGAGGAGCACCCTGGACTAGGGACAGGGGAGACCTCCTTAACCCCGCTGCAGTCCTGCTGTCTCCTGCAAGCCTTTCGAGGGCCCTCCGCCCCCTCCTGTGGTGGTCTCTGATCCAGGCCTTCCCCTCCAGAACCAGGCAGTGGCTGCCATAGTTCCCCACCCCCACCCCAGGACCCAGGCACAGTCCCTCCTCACATCAGTGGAGAATGGGGGGCTTGAGGGCTGAGGCCCCTCCACATCCCCAGAGGTCCCCTTTAACTTTTCTTCTTTTGTTTTTTTTTTTTTTTTTTTTTGTGACGGAGTCTCACACGGTCACCTGGGCTGGAGTCTGGAGTGCAGATCTTTGCTCACTGCAACCTCTGCCTCCCGGGTTTAAGTGATTCTCCTGCCTCAGCCTCCCAAGTAGCTGGGACTACAGGCACCCACCACCATGCCCAGTTAATGTTTGTGTTTTTTTTCTTCTCTCTCTCTCTTTTTTTTTTTTTTTTTTTTTTTTAACTCAAGCTTACAGTCTATTGTGGGATAATTTTTGTATTTTTAGGAGAAATGGGGTTTCACCATGTTGGCCAGGCTGGTCTCGAACTCCTGACCTCATGATTCGCCCACCTCAGCCTCCCAAAGTGTTGGGATTACAGGCGTTGAGCCACCACACCGGGGCCCCCTTTAACTTTTCTACCCTTCCCAGAGAGTGCAGCCCGATTCCTGGGCGACTGAGCCCCTCTGGCCTGGAGCAAGGAGTTAGGGAGTACTGGGGGCTGCTGGGGGCCTGAGCCCTCTGCCTGCTGTCTTCTAAGGCCCCCCCTGCTGGCCAGGACCAAAAGAGAGAGGGAAGCAGAGAGGGGACAGAGAGAACTTGCCGGGGACAAGGGCAAGGGCTGAGGCGGCCACGACCTCAGATGGAGAGTGCTGGGACCCACGATAAAGTTCCTCCCCACCTGGGGGCCCCATCCTGGACGAAGGCCACGCCCCCACCACGCAGGCTCACTTCTGCTCTTGGTTCGAACATCTGACTCCTCCTCTGAGAAGCCCTCCCTAGTGGGGC